GTTAAGTGTCAAGATAAACATGGTCCAAATGTCGATAATATCTTTTAAAATGTCGAGAACGTCGTGAAATGTCAAAAATAACAACTATTAAACAAAACTTATCAACAAAAACAAAATCCTTCTACCAGAATTGTGGGAAGTTTTATCAATTGTAAATTTGGATAAGATTAAATTTCTCGCAATTAAATTATATGATTTTCTTATGAATTTGAAGCATATAATTATTTTTTAGTGTTAATGACTTTTTTACTTCATATTCTTCATTTTTTCCCAAAATTCTTGATCAAAACCTAATAGATAATAAAAGCAAATGAATCCATTAGGTATTAGCTAGCATTAATGTAACTTCTCATGGAAGCTACTTGTTCTTATCAAAATTCGTGATAATTTGAAAAAAAAAATGATTTATTTTTCATTGAGGGTATAATAGACAATTTGATACTAAATTTGGCCATTTTTACAAGAGTTATCAAAATCGGATACTTTTCAATTGATAAATATGGAATTGGCTATTTTTGTAAATTCCCCATGTTGTGTCTTGAAAAGGTACAACTGTTGCTTTTTTTGTTTGTCAATGGGGTCGATCGGGAGACAAAAATGGTAAGCTTGAATCCAAGTGGAAAATTTCATTAGCTAATACCTGTTCCCAAGAAGAGCATGAAGTGTAATTAATATAGTTGAAAGCATAAATTTCACTTACATTTTTTAATAAACACATATATTAATTAATGATTTTAATAGTAGTAATTCTTATTTCTTGATAACAAGAAAGTTGTATAGAAAATAAAAAAATTAATTATAAAGGAAAGAGACATGTAAGTTTAATAATCATTAAACTTTCTAACATAATTTGCCACTATATAATTTGATCAAATTAGGAAGTAATATTGATTTACAATTAAAGAGTAATTATTAATCAAAGTAAATGCACGATTATATTATATAATTTGGACATTTACGTACGTACAAACCATCATTTTTCTATATAAAGCAAGAAAATATTCAATTTTTTTTTTCTCTCGTTGAGGCTACTTGCAATGATATGGAAATAAGTGTTGCGTACACCTACAAAAGGGTCTTGTCCTTGCAAGAAAGATGAATGCATGCTAAAATATTCAAAATACTTCAAATTAGGGTATGTCTGATCTCCATTTTTGGTGTAGAATGCATTTTAGAATAGTAAATTGATGAAAAATGTGTAGTTAAAAAATAAGAAAATTTTTTAAATTTACGTGTAATATTATTTTATTGAAAAATGTATAATTAAAAAGAAGAAAGAAAAAATATATTCTGAAAAAAAATAAAAATATAACTAGAACTCGAATATTGTGGGGGGCCTAACTTAATTACCAAACTTTGTTTCAAAAACAAAATATAATAATGTTAAAAAAATAAAAATAAAAGTTACATAATTTTTTTTCAATTTTCAGTGGGGGATATGGACCTCACTAATTCCCACCTCCCTCTGCCACTACATGAAACGGGTACAGAGGTTAAAATCAGATATTTAGTAAATTTTGATAAAAGTAGATAAAATATATAGTTGGAAAGTTGAACGTTTTGCAAAATATGCAATTAAAATTAATTGTTGACTTTGATTTAAATTAAGATTTGAATTTTAATCCCTACCAAACGCTAAAAATGAACATCTTTAATCAGATTTTCACACTGTTTTTGTTGAACTCATTTTAAAACTTAATGGTAATCATTAAGTCCATCATTTTCAATCAAAAGGTAGGATTCCATGCCAAAATCTAATGAAATATGGCTTACATACACAATTGATTTTATATGTGTATACATTTATGAGCACTGATCTTCATC